ATGTTTGGGGAGAGGTGGTGCTAAGAACACCAAGGTCAATGGCTTGGATCCCCAAACCAACCAGCCACTTGAAAAAAAAAAACGCGATGAAAAACACGTGATGTTTGGAGATTTATGAAAGGACTGGGTAAATCAAATCAGAATTTCTTCATCTCATGGGACCGTGCACAAGTTTAAATGAATGAAATAAAGCTACATGGAGCACCTCCCCTGTCATGCATAACCTTAGATGATATATTTCCAGCAACTTCATAATGTTCTTTAATACTAGCCGTTGCTTTTACAATCAAAAGGGTTTCACTCCAAGAAGCAGCCACAGAAAGGCTCAGAGGTTAACTAACCTGCCCTGAGTCACACAATTATTTAGTAATTGCCAGGATTCAGCCCCCAGCCTGTCCAAAGTCCACATGTCTATGACACCATTCCGCACACATCTACTTTCTCCTTAATTTTTGTCATCCTATCCAGTTTTCTGTCTCCAAATAATTGCCTCTTGACCAGAACTCTACTTCCAGAACTTACATACTTATTCCTATGGAGGAAGCTGGAGCAAGAACTTGACAGAGACATGGTGTTGTGTTGGTCTAGAATTATCTGCAAAATAGACACCAAAAGAACTATCTATCTGGGGGGATGGAAGATCCTGAATGAGAGTGGTGGGGACCCCAATAGGATGAGGCTTCCTCTCCTCCTGGTACTCACTATGGGAAATGGGCAGTGACCTAGGCTCCTGGAGACTGAAGAGGGATTGATTTTCTCAGGAATTAACAAGCTCATTTACAAGATGCAGCAGCTGTTTTTCCAGTTGCTACTGGGATAATTACTTTGAGTCTTAGCTGCAGTGGCAAAAAACAGCAATTAAAAACAAAAACAAAAAGCCTGGGCCGAGCCCGTGGCGCACTCGGGAGAGTGCGGTGCTGGGAGTGCAGCAGCGCTCCTGCCGCGGGTTCGGATCCTATATAGGGATGACCGGTGCACTCACAGAGCTCACTGGCTGAGCACGGTGTGGCCGGTCTCAAAAAGGACAAAAAAAAAAAAAATTGCTCCTCTCGGGCCGGCCCGTGGCTCACTCGGGAGAGTGCGGTGCTGATAACACCA